TATGACAGGGTAGTGTCTCTCCAGGGCAACAAACCCTAACACGAACGGAATGGAAACCCTGGCACATTCCTGTTAAAAAGGTCACCTTCCTGACTGCAAGGAAAGTGGTTGGTCCAGACATGCACACACAAGGAAAGACGTATAGTAAGAACAATTTTTACAGAGTATTTTGTCTCCCAAGTTTCCCTTCTGGGCTGTGCGAGTAAGTTAGAGGGAAAATTGCCAAAAAAGTCCTAAACCTTTTACATTTATGCCAATTTAATCCTAAACCTCTTTTTGTGCCAATTCAGTCCTAAACCTTTTATATTTGTGCCAATTTAGTCTTAAACCTTTTTTTGGTGCAAATTCAGTCCTAAATATTTTTGTCTTTGTGCCAATTCAGTCCTTCCAGTCAATTTTGGCCGGATTTTGCTGACCCGAACGCCGGCCGGCCGATCACCGGCATTGACGAGGACAACTTTTTAATAATATTTTAATATTTTTTGAATATTTATTTATTTATTTTCTTTTTTTTTTCCCTCCCCCCCTCCTTCCTCCAGTTGGTCGCCGGCCACTGGTGAGGTCGTGCGTCACCCAGCCGCCGACGAGGTCGACCTCACCAAATCAGGCGAGGTCGGGCCTCGCCGGCGGCTGGGCGAGGCTCGACCTCTCCGGCCGCTGGGCGAGGCACAACCTTGCTGGATCCGACAAGGTCCAGCCTTGCCCAGCTATGGCGAGGCTCGCCTTCGCCGACGCTGGCGAGGGCGAGCCTCGCCGGACTCTGGCCGGTCTATGGATCGGCGACCGGCTGGAGGAAGGAGGGAGGGAAAAAAGAAGAAGAAAAGAATAAATAAATAAATAAATTCAAAAAAATATTAAAATATTATTAAAAGTTGTCCACGTCAGCGCCGGTGACCGGCTGGCGACCATGTCAGCAAAATCCGACCAAAATTGGCAGGAAGGACTGAATTGGTACAAAGACAAAAAGGTTTAGGACTGAATTGGCATCAATGCAAAAGGTTTAGGACTTTTTTGGCACTTTTCCCGTAAGTTAGAAGCTGTACAAAACCCTACAACAGCATATTGAAGTAAGAATTGCGAATTCGAATACATGTTAGGACATTCTTGCACATTCTCAAAGCACCGGTGGCAGTGAGGCTGCTTGACCCACTTTCGCGACGTCAGTAGAAGGACAAGACAGACATTTCCAAATACACGCTTATTAATCTTCTATAAGCTGTTGCTCCATATATGGACTGATGAAGCTAAAATTTCCTCTCAGAGAGACAAAAATTGGTGTGGTCAACTGCATTGGGAATGTTGGGATGACCATGGAGGCACAAATTTAGTTGGTTATCCACTGTCATGAGGCATAATCTTACCAATAGAAAAAACCTGAAAGATGAACTGTAGCTTTCTCAGAACTGAAAAGGTAATCCAAATGATCTAAGCAATTGATAGGGACTAATATTTCTCCTTTTACTCCCCAAGGATTTATTCGCTCCTCTTTTTTCCAGAGAATTTGAAAATCACAAACATGAAAAGCACAAGAAACAACAAAAATTGTCTTGAGTTGAACATATCCAATGGGTAATCCAAGTAAATGCAGGCCCCTGAAGATCATACATTCTGCAGACCATCAATCCCGAGGAAATTGAAAATTTAATAGATTTCACCAAGCAGTACCAAAATTTTCTGAACTAGTAAGACATCGGTGAACCTACTGCTCAATCGTTTTCAGCCTCCAATTCCCATCCTTTTTATCTTATCTCATATACGTCAAAATCAAACCTAAAACAGACTTGAAGTATCCATTATCAGAAGATAATTCTTAGCTTTCACTTAAAGCCACGATACCAAGCGGATAAGAAAAGCAAACCAAACATCTTAGTCACATAGTCGAGGAAAATCCGACCATAATGGGCAAGAAAATCAATTTTCTTTCTCATCATCTACTGCAGCTATCATTGACTTCAGATATGATAAATTTACCAACACAGACTATATAATCTGATTACTCAATTACAATGTAAATCCAATTTCCATAATTAAGCTTTCAGAATACTTGATTAATGAAAATTGCCGGATCTCTCATAATTTGCAGAGGTATTTAATATACGGCCCATGAGAGGGAATACAGAACTCTGCCTGTTTAAGTCAAAAGTGGCACCCAATATTGCCACACACTGAAAGAATTGGTTATCTTCAGCTACACACTGAAGGAATTGGTTATCTTCAGCTATTTAGTATACTGTTTTTGGTAATGCATACTTCAAATACAAGATATATTCACAAAATTTAGCAAAGTTCTCAGGGAAATCTATTTGTTTCCCTCAAAGTGTCCTTTTCTAACCACTATAAGCCATTCGCAGCAATCTACATGATATGTCCAAATTAAAAAGCCAAATGCTCAACTTGGAACATGAGAAAGATGAACTGCCCCATCTAACTTAGGTCATTAGTTAACAATCACAACAAATGTTTCAAATGGATCATGATTTCCACAGCTCGTGTCACCTTCAATAGAACAGAGTAACAAGTAATATAATAATTTGTGGATCACATTCCTTGTATAGACAGTACAGAAGATCTGTTAAGCTGTCCGCCTCCTACAAAGAACTTAAGTGTCTCCATCTATGCATAAGACTATACTCCTTTCGGGAAGTTAGAAGTTGAAAGAGAGGAGGAGCTTCTTGTAAGCTAAAGTATATGCAAACAAAACAAGTTCTTATCATGAAGAAAACAAGGGTTCAAAAGTCCACGCTCAAGTGTGACCTCTTCAGAATTATTAACAAGAACCTTAAAAACTCGGAGCCAATGAGATTAAGAAAGCGCATTACAAGAACAAAAGGGCACAGCACCAGCATCAATACAAAACTGGGCTAAAAAGTCTATTCGTGGAAAAGAATAGGACTGTCTAAACCTGACACGTGTTAGTCCAAATTAGAGTTAATCTACTCGAAATCTGTCTGGATTGGCTAACCTAAGTCTACGGTAAGTAGTGCAACCATCAGATTCCAATATCAGCCAAATACATAGCAGAACAGATTTCCCACCGGTGATTCCCAAATTTCGATTATTTTGCAATTTGGGTCACTGAACTTTGATTGCAACAACCCAAAGCACAAAACTTTTAACTTTTTGTAGTTGAACCGATGCACTTTGACCATGGTAACTGTGGCATCCTCTATGTCTTGATGGAGATGACATGGTGTATCAGCCACCACATCAGCCCTAACTTAAGGAAGAAAATAAATATGGAAATATTAAGAAAGAGAGAAGAAGAAACAGAGGGTCGCAGTTTGTTTTTCTCTTTTTTAAAATTTTCATGCCGTCTACATGGCACCACGTCAACGTTATGCGTCAGCTGTCAGCCAAAGCAGTAAAAATTGCCACATAACAGGCCACGTCAGTTTTTTGCTGGACATTTGGTTGGAAAATGGACAGAGTGCATCAATTGCAAAGAAATTCAGTGATCCAATTGCAAGATTCATCAAAGTTTAAAGACCACCTGTGAAAATTATCTTAGAAACAATGCCACAACTCACCCAACTGATGTCAAAAGATGTATGACTTTCATAACCAAGATGAGGACAGTACAGAAATATGCAAAAGAGTAGAACTTATATACGACAAATAACGTCCCCTAGCTACTTCCATCCCAAATGGTGGTGTTTACGAAGTGTCGAAGATAAGAATTATGACTCATGAATGCATCACAATACCGACAGTTGTGAGTGCCAAAAGGTGTATTATGCTGGAAAAGACGTTACACGGGAATCAAAAGAAGTTGACAACCACAAAAGGCGTTCTACAGCCTACAAAGAAAAGGATCAGCACTCTGGATTTTCTGTCCAACAATTCACAACCTCTTGTCACAATCTATCATGACCTAACTTGAATATGAAAAATCAAATACTTGACTAGCTTTTGGAACAAACATTCTAAAAGTAAAGAATTGCTATCGCCCCCTTCATCATTAAGTAGTACTGACTTAGCACTACTCTACAACCTAATATTTCAAGAGGCATAATCACCTTATGCCATAGACTTTAACCCATCCATTCACTTTCAGAATCATATCAAATGCAGGAATAAAACGCACATAAATTTAAAGTTGCATCTGCAACTTGTATTTTGTTTAGGCGCTAAATAAATTTAGTGGCCAGAGAAATAGTATTATGAATCATTAAACAGTAGAAATCTTCCGCATAAATCAACCATCAATCAGGTTGCTTACACAGCAAACTACTACGAAAGCACATCCTCAGAAATTTCGAAATCATAAAAACTGAAGAAACACAGAAAATAATTGAAAAAAAATGCAATAATGATTGCCACCTTATGGCACAATATATCTGACTTTGCTTTTTCTGTTTCCACCTTCTCCATCCACAATCAATTAAGCAAATTAGATGACAAAGATGATCTGTGGGCTTTTCATATGCATATAGCTTCCAAAGAAAGTCATCTCTCCAGGATTGCCCTGCAATCTTGCGTGGATTAATCCACCTTAAGTATGGGCCTTGATTTGTGAGTTGGATTTTGGGTAGGTTTTGGGGTTTGGAGTTTCATGTGTAGGTAACATTTATTCCTCTCACAATGATTGAACAATTGAACAAATCTTAATGAGACAGTACTTATCTCAATTCGCAGAAAATTTCCCACATGATGTAAGCATGATCAGTTTATAAATTATGGAAAAAGTTCCCGGTCTATGCTTTCTCTAGATATCATAGCTTTGCTTGTTTTCGATAAACACTGTCTCAATGCCTGTAATTTACCTTCTCTCAAAAAACGAAAAGAGCAAGAATTGTACAAATCCATGTGGAGAAAGATAGTTGAGCACTTCAAGAATATTGGATCCTATGAAGATCATCCATCATCAATACAGTAAAGTTACGCAGGTACGTGATCGGTAGTTGCTCATGTATTGAACCGCTTCACCGCACAGCACGGCAAGATTGATATCAACACACTGAAGGTCTCCAACTTAGTGACGATTGAAACAGGAAGGTATTGGTCGGAACAAAAATCTTGAATTAGCAAATAGAATGGTGACATTACTGACTCCCCATACGTGTTCCAGACAATGCTCAGTGTTTGAAGTAATCACAGATATCTCCATCTAAGCAAAAATCCCGAAGTATATGGTACCGCTTTCGCAAATCCCATTTCCTTCAAGCAAAGAAAAAGATTCGTGCTACAAGTAATTTAGGAGAAAACAAATTTACTAGCTTTGCTCAGCTGTACGTCACCGGGAACAAAGTGACACGTCAAGAAATTGTTTTCAGGAAACTCTAACACAAAAACCACCGTGTGTAGTCAACTGTGGCCAACCTGAGCTATCATAAAAGTCTTTTTACATGCACCCATCAATGCAACATCAACAACAGAAAAAGGAATTCTCGATCACGCAACTATTCCCGTTCGGTGGAAGAGGTCTCATCTCAATGCGTTTCCAACCGCATTTCACTCTCTGTTTCGCTAACCCCATTAATAGCATCCTGTTTCAGCTAGAGAGGCCAGGCCACCACCTCAGTATTAGATTCACTTCCATCCAGTCAAACGCCAAGACTAGGCATCATCATCCATTGGCTACAGACATTTCAAAATACCAACAAACATCCATCGCAAGCATGGATGCACCGGTTTCAAACATGACCGACGAAAAAGAACCAACGAAAGTATTTCTTTTCGCGAATTACATCAAACAGCTCAGCTGCATCAGATAGATTCGACTAGTCTTTTCATGAAAACAAGTTCGACGAACGAAACTAAAACGAGGAACCTGATCTTTCGCAGGTTGTTGAGACCGCAGTGATTGCCGAGCTCACGCGGCCGAATGCGCGAGAATCAACTGCTCCAATGAGCAGCTCGGTCGGAGCGCCTCCATGCTCGTTCCATTTGATCGTTGCTTGGGGACAAATGCCTTTCCGTTCTTTATTGTGAAACGAGGTTTTTCTTTGTAAATTTCCTAGAAGAAAAATATTTGGGAAAAAAAAAGGAAAACATAGTTTAAGTTTTCAAGGGCAAAAAAAAAAAGGGTTAATACCACGAAAAACCCTAAACTGGTACACTTGTGACACATTTACTCCAAACTATTTTTTTGACTACAAAAACCCCAAATACACTGCATGACAATTTTACCCGAGCATACACAAAAAACCCCAAGCTAGTACATTATGACAATTTTACCAACTTACCACAAAAACCCCCAAACTGAGTACACACGTGACAATTTTACCCCGAACTAATTTTTTAATAATATTTTTTTTTTTTTTTGAATTTTTGAATTTTTTCTTTTTTTTTTTTTTCTTCATCTTCAACCTCTGGCCGGTCGCCGGACCGGCGATCGGCCAGAGGCGGATGCCGGCAAGGTTGGCCCCGCCGGCCGCTGGCGAGGCTCGACCTTGCCGGCATGGGCGAGGGCTGCCCTCGCCCGATGTCGGCGAGGCTCGACCTCGCCGGCCGCTGGCGAGGCTCGACCTTGCCGACGTGGGCGAGGCGACTCGGGCGAGGCCCCTCGCCCGCTCCGAGGCCGCCTCGCCCGACTCGGCGAGGGTTGCCCTTGCCCGCCCAGCGAGGGTTGCCCTTGCCCGCCGGCGAGGGTTGTTCTCGTCCGACGCCGAGGGCGGCCCTCGCCGGCGCCGGGCGAGGACAACCCTCGCTCGACTCGGGCGAGGGTTGCCCTCGCCAGCCCAGGCGAGGGCTGTCCTTGCCCGCCCAGGCGAGAGCTGCCTCGCCCGACGCCGGCGAGGGCTACCCTAGCCAGCGGCCGGCAGGGTCGACATCTCCGGCTTCCGCCTCTGGCCGGTCGCCGGTCCGGCTACCGGCCAGAGGTTGAAGATGAAGAAAAAAAAGAAAAAATTAATAAAAATTCGAAAAAATAAAAAATAATATTAAAAATTTAATTAATGGTAAAATTGTCACATATGTACCAGTTTGGGGTTTTCTGTGGTAAGTTCAGGGTAAAATTGTCACAGGTGTACCGGTTCGGGGTTTTCTGTGGTAAGTTCAGGGTAAAATTGTCACAGGTGTACCAGTTTGGGGTTTTTGGCGGTCAAAAAAATAGTTCGGGGTAAAATTGTCACGGGTGTACCAGTTTGGGGTTTTTTGTGTTAAAAAAAATAGTTTGAGGTAAATGTGTACCAGTTTAGGGTTTTTCGTGGTATTAATCAAAAAAAAAAAGTTGAGAGAACAAAACCCACATGAGATTTCGCATGGGTTATCTCTTGTTAAAATAAAAACACCAAAATCTAAAATTCAATAAAACTCTGTAAAACAACTCAAAAAATGAAAGTCGAAATCAAGAAAGTGGGACTTTATGTCACTAATCTGGTCTTCTCTATGGTAAGAAACATGTGATTAATTGAATAGAGAAGAACAAGGCGCCCGAAGTTGCTATTTAACGAGAGAAATGATTAAGTGACTGTCTTTGATAAATTGTGAGATTAATCGTCTATTTTGGGCCCAAAAAAATAATAAATAAGTAGAAATTATTGTGAGGTCTACTATTTCAAGAATTTATGGCTCACGATATATTGTTACTGTCACAGTGGCCCAAAGACCGTTATGTTAGCAAATTCCAAATCCGCATCTATTTCAATATGTAAATGGAGTTACTCTTTCACGAACTGCGATCCATCTCTAAGAGCTCGGACTTGCGCAATATCACGGTCCCTTACTTCGGCACTAGGCAACCGGTCGTCTGCCGGGTCATAGGCCGAACGAGGGCAACGGGGCCCTCGAACCCGAACCGAACCAAACGGGACCTCAGTGTTTTCGTCGCGTACTGTCTTTCCTCCTCTAAGGATGGTCGAGAGAATTTTAGAGGGAGCATACTATGCAGAGAGCATCAATGGATTGCGAGAAACCGTGCACGAATCTAGCCATAAATCGTTCGCATGTAAGTGGCACATGAAAAAAAACGCAGCTCCAATCAGAACAAGTTGCTGTTCCTAAAAGTTTGTCAAAGCACAGAGAGAGTCGACCCGGTCACGAGGAGGACCAGATGGTCGCACCAGTGGTGTGAAAAGGACCCGCCCCCACCACTCCCCACCGTTTCTTCGACACCCCCTTCTCCTTCTTCGCCTCATCTTCAAGATCGAAACCAACCTCGTGGAATCCGTGATGAGCTCTAGTGTTTACACCTGCCTATAGGTATATATAGAACACATACCTATGGGCTCCTCCCCCCCTTCACGTCAGCCCGTGTGTAACAGCCTCCGGCTCTGAACATTCTCATATACTTCACGCCACTATCGCCACCACCACCACCCGAAGGTCTCTCTGGATATTCCCCGGGGCTGCGACGAGATCATGCCACGGGCAGCGATGGTCGAGCTCGATTTCTTCGCTTTGGAGAAGCAGACGATGGCCTCCGGCCCTCCTGAGCACCGGTGGACTAGCTCTCCCGGTATAGTCGCCGGAGCTCGAAGCGGATATGTTCATGACCGCATCAGGAGTGGTAAAATCTCCATCCTTGTTCTCACGTGGAACCCAAGTCCTATTCATCATAGTCCTGTAGCTAGTTAATATGCATCGGTTGTGCTTCCCTTTTTTGTTGGCGAAGATCGCTGATCTCTACTGAATTTAACATTGATAGGTATCCGAAGCGCCGCCAACCCCACGATCCCGAGTGTTGAAAATGGCGTTCAGTTCGCTCCCTGCGATCCCTTCTTTGTTTCTCCGCCGGCGTCGTCTTTCAAAAGAGATCGTCCAAATGGGTTTCCTGCCCCAACACCAGCGCACAGTCCTCTTCTCAGGTTCGGCGAATCGCATCAACATATACGGACTAGTCGATCCAAAGAGTCCTTTGTATCACCCTTGTGACTTTTAGTTTTTGTTTGGCTAGAACATCACCCTTGAAACTTGCGTATCTATATTCTATTGCTTGTGCGGTTTAAAGTTCTGCTGATATACGTATATTTCTTGTATTAAGCTTCTTATTTGTGCAGGCCTACCTCAGACAAAAATGGCAGGATTGCTCCGATGACAATATTCTACAATGGAAAGATGACCGTCGTCGACGTCCCTCGCATTATGGTACGTTGCCTTCTTTTTCCCCTAGCAATCCTATTTTCATGGCGATAATCAAGTAGAGGCGACTTCCACATTAGATCTTTCCAGTTTAGGACACAAGAAAATCATTCCTCGTTAATCCGACAGCTTCAGAATATATTATCCAGCGAAAATTGGAAAAACATGGATTAAGAAAGGAAAAGATTAATCCTGATCGTGTTTCGTTGTCGCTTGAATATGTACAGGCCGAGAACATACTGAAGCTCGCCATGGAAGAATGCTCCAAGAACCCTGAATCAGAGAAACCAGAGACTGCAATGCCTGCTCCATCACACCAGCATCAGTGGTTTGAATCTCTTAACAAATGTTAGTGCCATTCATCTAATTTTCTTTCATATCTGATTTCTTTAGACGGTTCATGTAAAGTTTTCCTTGCACCGACACGTTATGCACTAATTTTCCTTATTCATTTCCCCTTGTTGAACAAGAAAATACTTTGTGATCGTGCAGATCTGCCATTGGCCAGGAGAAAATCCCTACAGAGATTTCTGGAGAAGCGTAAAGAGAGGTAAAATATCAAACTACTTTTACCACGCTACATCCATTGAAACTCTCTGATCAAACTTCATTTAATTCTCGTGCGATCCCATGTCACAATCGAAACGAAATGTCAAGTTTGACGCATATAATAATGCCACACCTTTCAATAAAGATACCTAAAAGCTTCTCCACTGCTTTTGTCGCGCCTCCTCGCACTAGGACTAGTACACGCACATGATCACAGTGCACATCCGTGAACACATCCCTCCCATATTCACACGTTCCATGCAGGACCCCTTTCGATCCTAGCCATCGAAGAACGATGGAGCCCATAATTTTTTTCGAAAAGATTATGCCTCTAACGCTACGTTCCTAATCGACCCATCAAACAGGTTGACTTCGGCTTCGCCGTACCATGACCCGGCGCACCTACCACCACGCGTTTCCGGGTTCAAAAATTGAAGAAGATGACCACCACGCGTAGGCTGGCTCGAGGCAATTTCCACACGACCATCTCATGTTAGTTTATTAGTGAGAATGGGGAAAAAGAAGAAGACGAAAAAGGCCCGGTCAAAGGAAGGATTGTCACCATTATTTAATTGCTGTACTATGTCTATGTTAGCAGATAGTGCGCAGCCGTGCTAGCTTAATGGGATGTTTGTTCAAGGTGCGGTTTTCTAAGGCGCTGTCGTCTTGGACCGACACCGACGTCCGCTGTCTCCTTTGGAATCTTTTTTTGGGTCGTCATGGTCCGACGTGCCAACTAATTTAGCAAACAATTTTTCATTTTTATTACGAAGTTCACGCATTGCACGCGAGTGTGAACTCGACTTGTATGACTCTACATATATTCAAGTACCATTTGTTCACGTGTTTCCTTTTGTCTTAACTATTCCTCCAACCAATTTTTGATCTTGATAGCCTTGTTACTATACACTCGTCAACGAATCTTTATATTTATGTACATATGTGTGTGTTGTGCGTCATGAAGGTGAATTGTACATACTTTCTAAAGGGAAAAGTACCGAAAAAGACTTAAACCCATTACACTTGTGCCAATTCAATCCTAAACTTTCAATTGTACCAATTTAATCATAATCATTTTTCCGCAATTTGCCAATTGAGTTCTTCTGGCCGTGACCGAGGGCGCGAAGGCCCTCGCCCAGATCTGGCGAGGGCTTGGGTGAGGGGCGCGACCCTCGCTAGCGGCTGGCAACCCAATTGAAAGGAAAAATGAAAAATGAAAAAAATAATAATAAAAGAAAAGAACAAAAAATTCAAAAATTATTAAAATATTATTAAAAAATATTCACATCAGCGTCGGTCGTGTAACGTAAGATGATCGACGTTCACGTCGGCGATTTCCGGCCAAAATTGACTGAGTGGACTTAATTGGTAAAATGTAAAAATGTGTAAAACTAAATTGGTACAATTTAAAAGTTTATGACTAAATTGACATAATTACAATTGATTTAGGACTTTTTTTTTGTTAATTTTTCCTTACTTCCTTACCCTTTTACTCAAATCGAGGAAGCATTATATGTAAACTAGAGATGTCGTGCAGAAGTTGGTTCCCTATGAGAATAGAAAATCACCTTTGCTTTTGAATTTAAAAAGAAAAGGAAAAGTTGTCTTGAGATAGCGGGGCGAAAGGCTGGATTTTCCGTGCAAAATTGGAGATGAACCTCCAGGGATTTTTTTTTTTTTTTGGTCAAAAAAATATTTTATTCGTTTCCACGGATATACAATAGAGATACGCAGCCCAACTATAAATCAAAACAACAAAACAAGTTCCAGTAAGAAGATGAATCATCTTAACAAGTTTATTGGTTATACGCTCAAGGAGCAGATTTTGGACTTTTTCAGACCAAATCGACGGCTGATCACTGAACTCATCTTTGGTAATAAACACACATTAGGATCTCCATCTGTTGCTACGGCTTTGCCTTTCAACTGCCGAGGAAATTGGTCCGGTCAAGATCTTCTAATTGTATCCCGCCTCAATATGTGTATTAGCAATGATGTATAAGCTGAACTTTAAGGTGAGTCATGACTCCACGCATGGAAACTCGAAATATGATGACATGGGACGGATTTTTCAACCTTAGATTCACACAATCAAACTTTTGAATGTTTGTCGACCTTCCGACTTAGTTAGGCAAGAACACCAACTCTTGTGACTGCACGAAGCGTGAGGACCTTGTCTTCTGCATAAAAGTCTCGCTCATACAGATCCATACCGAAGCGACGTGCCACTGTAGTTCATAAAGCAGTGACTAGTTTCATTGTTAGCGTTGCATGAGAAGCAATGCGATTCAATCTAAGGAAAAAGATTGGGTAAATGGGGCCCCGTTGGGTCATGTTATGGGAATATTGCATGTTTATGGTTCCTACAAGTCACATTGTTCTTCTTATTGCGAAAAATTCAAGACCCCGAGTACAAGTCCGATACCTCAAGCGGTCACCGTCGCTAAGGTAGCGGGAGGCGTGGTGGCAAAGGGGCTAAGGGCAATGTTCCGGTTTGGGTTAGGTTGAGTTGAGTTAGGGCTTGGATTTGGTAGGAAAATTATCCGGTTGGACACGTGTCAGAATACGATGAAAGGGGGAGCATATGGTTTCATAATAGGTGACCGTTGATCTGCATTCGAGCGCAATTAAAGGACAACTTAGTCCTTATATTTCCTAATGACGCGATAGAACTAAACCCGTCAAAATGGGTCATAAATCCATTTTTTAACCTATATATGATGAGCCGATTTGTTACGTGCGTTAGTTATATTCAATCAATAGGTCATAAAATGGGTTTAAACATAATATAAGTGTTAAATAAGTCATAAATGGATCGTAAATAGGTCACAAATAGTTTACAACTTACTTAAACCCAACCCACCTTTATGACTCTTTGTTCATTTTCTCTCGTCCTCATTCGATCTTGCCCTCACTCATTTCAAATTTTCGCCTCAGTTTGGATATGGGTTTTCTTAGGTTAAATATCAAAGTATTTTAACAAAATAAGTCAAGTTGGGTATGAGTCATTAGATTTGTATTACATGAAAATTAATCAAAACGGGTTAAATGGATTTATTTGGGTCGGACCATTTTCGATCCGACTCATCCAGTTGACGAGTCTAGATTGAGCGGAGCACTTTGTTTGGAGAGAGGCAACTTCGAAGTACTTGCAGAAACATGGGCAAATTTTTCAAAAGACCTAAACTACGAGGAGGGCGCGTGCATGCAACTCCAAATCTGTTCAAGCACGGAACGCAACGTGATGTAGAATCTTTGTTTTTCTTTATTCGTTTCGAGGTTTACCGAGAAAGTCGAACGTGTCGGCAAATGGAGAACAGTCTTCGGTAGTACGTGGTTTTGGGGATTGGCTTTAGATTGGGGGAAGTAAGTGGGAAAACCAATAATTGAAGCAGGCTCCGGCGTCGCTTTGCTGTCAAAGTCAACACACAGGAACGGCAGATTCCAAGTCGTCCCGGCTCGCACCGAAGCGTACACACGGCAGCAGCAGCAGCAGCCGCGAGAAACGTGAACGGCAACGGACGAAACTCGAGAAGCACGTGATTGAATTTTCTTCTTCTTCGTTTCTGCTCTCTCTGTGTTCTTTTCTTCCCCTGGTGGGATCCTCCACCATTGTAGTCAGAGTCCGACATCATTTATTCTTCTGGATTCGGATCATTGACGCGACAGCGATTGTCTACTGCAAGTGGAACTCACCTCGTCCCGATTTCATGCGATGGGTTTTTCCCCGAAAGCGCGAAGGAAGCTTCCGTCGGAGGCATGACCATCCCGAGTCGACTGGTCTTTCATTATAGATTGGGAGGAGGTTCTTCAATTCAAAGATTTGAACCGACATTTCCAAAGATATCGGTTTGTATATCTGTATCCCATGTTGCGGGTACGTCCAGGTCAAAATGAATGAACCGGCGTGTTTTGAATGTTAGGTGCGCTTAAAAGATGCAATTTATGTGACGGCTATTTCGCTTTTTGCCCTGATCTTTAACTTCATTTCTTTTATCTTTCGGGCTATGTATGTGGAGATCGGTTATTTGTAAATCCACGAAACACTTTACAGGCTGCATGAACCGGGTAAGCATGAGCCTGTGTTTTGTGTAGGCGGCATCGGTCCATAGCAATTTGCATGTAACTGGTGCAAAATTATCTAAAAAGTGTTAAATCTATTGCACTTTTGTCAATTCAGTCGTAAACATTTTAATTATACCAATTAAGTCATGAATCTTTTCACGTGTTGTCAATTGAGTCCATCCGGCCGTCCTACGTGGCACAACCGATACTGATATAGACAATTTTTAATAAAATTTTAATATTTATCTTTTTCTTTTCTTTCTTTTTCTTTTTCATTCTTTACTCTCTTTTTTTTATCGTTAAGAGCCGCCATTGACGTGGACAATAGGTTTATGTCTTTTTGGACAATTTTTCCCGTGATTGATTGGATTTGAAAGAATGACTCAAGTTCCCGAGCTGAAAATCCTCAAACATCCCGTAACTGTTTAGCTTCATTTCCAACCATGGGATCAAAATAGGGTTTTACACTAATTAGTTAAGCAAGTTTTAAGCCAAATCAAACCCGCGAAGTTAAACCTATAAAGCAAATCAAACTATCTCAAGCCTTTTTTTCTAAGCAATAAGGGGTTGATTTGTGAATTGTGAATTCAGTTTTCAATTGCCTATATAGGCGGTGATGACGATATTAATCTTGAGAAGATGCATATTCTTTAATATAGTTTAGACGATGTTTTTTGAAGGCGAAATGTTTACATGATGCATGCATAGCTAAACTTCTTGGCGTACAAACAAAAACAACACGAGTTCGCTTATACCAATATGCTTCTTGCTCGTTTCGTTGCCCTTCTAGATGAAATATGCATTGTTGACAATATATTAACTCGAATTCTATGAAATTCGCCGTACTCATCACTCCTCACCACATGCCCGAAAATTTTCTCAACTAGTTCGGTTCGGGTCCAAAAGGAAAACGAGCGTACGAAAGGAATTCAAATGTTAGATCATCGATCTTTCTGGACGCGAAAAATCCAAGTTTGACCGGTTATAACTTCCTAGCGGCTAATTGGGTGCAACTTGTCTTGGAAAAGTAAGGCAATTGCAACTTCAAGTAAAGGATATTCGGATCCCACCAAAAAACAAAGTCATGATCATGTTTAGCTGGCCGGTCGTACGAGACTTCTTTCTTTTTTATCTAATTTCTCGGGCGGAATCAAAGTCAAACAACAATACTAGTTTTGGGGAACTGCGTCCACTATTCTTTGCACGAGTTTGATTTTTTGGGGGAGCATATGATATGACACTCCTTGAATTAGAATGAGTCATTTGGAAGGTGACGTCATAATGTATGTATGTATGTATGTATGTATGTATATTGTTTCTTTGTAGAATTTAATCCATGTACTTTTTCGCATTTGGAGAACAGAAGCTCGCAAAACTGACTTTCATTAAGGTTGCTCTACGATGTGACGTCCAAGTCATGTCGCTCTTGACACCAGGCATAAAATTTGGACTCAAACGTAGGTTATTAATGGCCGAAATTAGGTTACGACAATACAATTCTCGCCTATAGGGCCCATCGATAGAATGATTGATCAGCTTATCGATGGTGAGCTTCCAATGGTCAGAATCGAGGGAAGTACATGACATGTGTTGACGGTCGATTGACTCGAAGAAAGTCAATCGATCTGAATTTTTGCGGACAAAGATCAAAATGCATAATGAAATGGTCCATTTAAAGACACAAGAAGAATTTCGACCCAAAAAAGACACAAATAAAATCAATGGTGGGCATAAAAAAAATGACAACATCACATTAGAAGAAAAACAATCATCGACGAAGATGAGAGTATAATTCGTAATAGCAAATCGGATTAGATTGGATTTTTCCTAAACTTTTATTTGAATTTCAAATTAGATTAGGTTTCCTAACTCCGATATTTATCTTTATTTACCAAAACATCTGTGTCGTATTTTATAAGTTTTTTACTTTGTCCGTGTATTCTAGTCATTTCCATTAACAGTTCATAGCATATCGAATTAGATTAGATATTTTCATGAGTTTGAATTTGAATTTTGGATTGGATTAGGTTTCCTAATTCCATTATTTATCTCTATTTTTTACAACATCCTAGTCAAATTTTCTAAGTTTTTTTACAACATCCAAGAACTAGATGCCTATGTCTGGCTCCCTGACCCTGGTTTATAGAGGCCAAGCCCATGCCCCGGTGCCCGGGACTCAATCCTCTGTGCCTGGACTTAGGTCCATTGAGGTCGGGTCATGCCGGGATCCATTGAGGCCAAGCTCTAGTCCCCGGCGCTCGGGCCTAGGCCCAGCATCTATGGATCGAGGCATGGCCACAAGGGAACCAAGCATAGGCACGAGAATCTCGGGCTCGAAACTCAGGGACCCATGCATGAGCGTTGGGGTTCAAGGCCTGGCCTTGATGGATCTGGGCACGGGTGCTGAGGACCTGAGCTCAGCCTCGATATTTTCGGGTCTGGCGTCTCGAGCACAAGCATCAGTGTCTTGGGCGCGACCTTGATGGGCCCGAGTGTGATCTAGATGGATCCGAGCTAGGGCGGAGGGGTCCCAAGTCCGGCCTCACTACCAAAGGCCTGAGAACAAGCATTGGGGTTCCTGTGCCCAATCACAGAGTTTCTAGTCCAAAAAAATGGCAATACTTAGTTATATTTTGAAAAATATTTTCCGATTTTCTAAAGAAGAAATCATTTTCCCGAATTTAAGTTTTGGTAAATCCGTTGACAAGAAAAACATTTTTCGCTAACTCATTTCCTAAACGATCCAAATGCCAAAAAATAAAAAATAAAAATATTTTCCGCGAAACAATCGAAACCTTGAAAATCATCGTTTCCTTCGTGCTCCTTCAAAAAAGCTGCTCTGTCTCTCCTGTTTCCGAGAATGACATCTCCTTTTGGAGCTAGCATTTGCACCTCTCTTGTTTGGGCCGGAGAAGAGCCTGTCTCGGCCTATCTTAGGCTCAACGAGCAGATGGACAAGGTCGAAACAAAAGGCAATAGGCATGGTTTCCTTTTGGGCAAGCCCACCCAACTAGCTAGTTCCATCCTTCAAATATATATATATCTATCTATGTAATATAATGGATTACATGGAAAATGCATTAATTAATTATAGATCCCATCTCTCTTGCGTATTTCAATTTTAATTTCTATCTTACAAACAATCTTATCCTGCAAAGTTCATATTTGGAAATACTTTTCTTTTCTACATATATCCTCACAATTTCTTCATCTCATCTTGATAAATTATTTTCGCCAGTTGATAATTCAATTTTTTTTGAAACAATTCGATTTTGCAGAATCTTTAAAACATACGCACAATGCACAGGCATTTTTTCTAACTCGTTATAAAATCAAGGCCCATGTTGGAAAATTTCCTTGCCAATAGCTTAATCATCAATCATGTGTTTATTTTGGAGGAAATGACATGAATGGTTTTTGAACATTGGCTCGATGTGCAATATGGTCATTGGAGCTCTAATTTGTTTAATATGGTCACTGAAGTATTGATAGATGTTCAATCTAGTTTATAGACTACGTGAAATTGTTTAATGTTGTTCTTTTATTAATTCAAATTAAATGGAATATGTTTTTTTTTTTTTTTGGTAACCCAGGGAACCCCCGCACGGCCGACAGCCGGGGAGTAAACCCTGGGGGCGACACGTGCTAGCCACCACACACGTGCCACCGGTTAAGTCACCCTGCGGCGCTCGGGATTCGAACACTCAACCTTTTAAGTTTGAATGATGGACAAAAATAAAAGTTACAGCGGATTATCTACATAAGAAATTCATCTCGATTCAAGATATAATAATTCACGTTATCAAATAACAATAGACATGTTAACGCCCTAATTTTTTTTCTTTTTCTAAAGTAGATGGATAAAAATATAGACATGTTAACTTATCATTTATACAAATTCAACTCAACACATAATAGCTCACGTCATCAAATAACGTTTGATTTGTTGTTTGGGCAAATGAAAGGACTACATTAGACGTTTATCAATACTCCAGAGACCCCATTGAATAAATTAAAAATCTAAAAATCACATTACACATTGAGCCAAAGTTTAAGAATCATTCGTGCCAATTTCCTTTCATTAATCAACTTATAAAACCGGTTTCAAAGCTCCATACGTACACCACCTCGGCAGTTGGCACTTGGGGTTGAAGCTCGAGGTATGTCCGATGTCGCTCTGTACCTATTACTTTACATTCAAGCATTTCTAGAAAATTATGCATGACCTACTTTTAGATGAAGAAAGCACATCATAGGCTATTGCTATCACGAAGGCTCTTGCACACCGATAATATGACTAATCAATAGGAACTTCCTTCCTCGAAACGGCCATTAGTCGATGCTTACGAAATTATTACACATCGACATAACTCCGGTGCATATCCAAGCTCGTGTCCGACGTTTACGAACTTCTAAAACAGCGATCGTGAACGGTGCACGACCCTCGGCTAATTGTGATCAGAGTCCAACGATCTACACAAGCTCCTGCGATTGATACCAGAGACTTTTGCCAATACCCTCTAAAAGTCGGTGTAAATCTCCTCTTTACCTACTTATTAAAGAAAGCAAACGACGGTGTCGCCGCCGTTCCAATGGTGGCACGCTCGCGCGCTCTCTCTCTCTCTCTCTCTACACCTTCGACGGCGTAGGGTAGTGGGAATGAATTGGCAAATAAGAAAAGCTAAGGACATGTGACTTGGTAGTCGGTACGATGCGATTGATGTGCGACAATGTTTTGGCAAAGGATAGGAACGGCGGCTGGTACGTGATGGGCCTTGCTCAAGAGAGCACGATGGGCTGGAACTTGGCCCAATATTATAATGGGCTTAAGTTGGGCCCGAATCAGGCCGGGGTAAACCGCTCAAAACTCAATTGCTCATCGTCGCGACGGGCTCAAAAGCAAAGAAGACTAGAACAGTCCGTGGTGCATTAGCCCGCATGAACGTGACCCCAACAAGCACCACACTCCAACGCTGCGCTAAGTCAAATTCGAAATTTGATACGCAAGAGAGATGGGATAAATTATTATACGTCTATGGAAATTATGGTGAGGGATAATATCACACACGGTACAAATGGCACCGAACTTTGATCCAACGTGCAGTGTTGTCCTGAATTTTTAATTTGTATAACGTAGTTCTTAAACTTTGGCCCAATATACAATATTATCTCTAGACTTTTATTTCGTTCATAGTGGCCCGTGAACTATTAATAAATGTCTGGTGTAATTCCTAAACTACATAAATACGTTTAAAAATCCAGGGATGACATTACATGTTGGATCAAAATTAAGGGACCATACCGAACAAATTAAAAATTCAAAGACGACATTGCATATTCGATCAATATTGAACAAATTAAAGATTCGTAGACGAGTCAAGCGACGTTGTCGAACGCCACTTGCGTAATTTTTCCTCCTATGCTTAAATCATGTCACTCTGTCCTTTCGTAGCCTTTATGGAAATTGTGGCGCGCCAAGTCTGATTTTGGGAGGGACCATTCGGGCGTGAAGTTAACGACGAGCTTTCTAGAAAAATGAGAAAAATCTAAGGAAAAAAGAGGGGGAAAATGACACACAGTCCCTAAACTTTGACTCAATGTGCAATTTGATCCCTGAACTTTTAATTTGTTCAATGTAGTCCCTGAACTTTAACTCAATATTCAATATGGTCCCTAAACTTTCAATTTATTCAATATGGTCCATGAACTTTTGGTACATGTTCAATATAGTCCCTGAACTTTTTAAATATATTCAATGTAGTCCTTCCATTAATTCAAGTTCAGGGACTATATTGTACATTTTCATATCGTTCAGGGACTAAATTGAATATTTACCAAAAGTTCAAGGACCGGGTTGAACAAATTGAAAGTTCAGGGACCACATTGAACATTGGGTTAAAGTTCAAGGATTACATTGAACAAATTAAAAGTTCATGGATCAAATTGCACGTTGAGCCAAAGTTCAGGGACTGTTTGTGTCATTATCCCAAAAACAGGAAGAAATACGGCGATGAAATGTTCCTAGTTTTCGACAAAAAAAAAAAATGTTCCCAGTTTTCTAGACGTGCGACCGCTGACCAATCACCATCACCGCTCAGAAGGAAAGTCTCCGGGGAGGACCTTTCGGTCATTTCCACCCCTCCCCCATCGTTTGGTCCGTCTTCCCCCCATCTAAATCCATGGCGGGTCAAGCCTTCTTCGGGAGCGAACTGACGCCATCGTCGTAACGAAGAAGAAGAAGAAGAGGAGTCCCAACCGAAGCGATCGGAAGCGAAGTTCTCTTCGATTCGATCCCCCGCGGCGGCGCATCGCCGGCGATCGCGATGGAGAAGAAGGAGGAGCCGGTCATCGGAGTGCCGTACTACCCGGCGGCGCAGAACCCCTACCAGGCCGGGATGATACCCCCCCACGCCATCTTCGGGGATCCGAAGGGGATCCCGATCCAACAGACGATCTACCGGGACACCCCCGCTCCGTTCAGCTGCGTCTACTGCGGCGGTTCCGGGGTCACCACCGTCAAGTAACTCATCCGCTTCCCTCTCTCTCTCGCCGCCCTCTTTCTCGCCCCTTAATTGCTCGCGCTTCTGGCTAGGGCTTCTTTCTGATGGTTTTGAGAGGCGAGGTTTGGGTATCTTGTTCATAGTTTGCGTGTCGAGTGATTCCCGCGTCGTCGCAACGCGAGCTTTCGTTGACTTTTTCCTCCGTGGTTTCTCTTCTGTTTACGATTGGTTGTATGGACGCGGAATCCAACTGGAGTTGGATTCCTCGAATTGCAGTCGAGAATCGCGTGTTCTTGCTATTGGAATTTGCAAATTTTACTTTTTGACACTTTGTAATTCGGCAAATTGGAGTTGAGTAGTTTGGGCATTACCAAAAAACGACGAAGGTAATTGGGTGGTCTCGTACTAACCCGTGACAATGGATTGCATCCTATAATGGTCAAATTTGGTCGATTGATGGCCTTGGAGGTGAAGGTCCGATATTGTAAAAGATGACGGTGATGGCAGGCTGTTGGTGGTGGGAGGGTGTTGGTAGTATCGACGAACGGAGGTGGTGGTTGGTGGTGGTCGTGCGGAGGTTATGACGATGACGATGGCAGAAACCTATGCTTGAACGAGCTGAATTGGAGGACTCCAAATTTTCCCCTTCTCTTGTGGTATGATTTAGTCACGGTTTCGGCCCTGCAGCCCTTCTGCTCTTTCTCTAGTGGCGAAGAATCATACTCTTGCATTTCTTTGGTTGCTTTTTTTTTTGTTTGGTCGAAACTTTGGTTGTTTGAAAATGTAGGGTTCTTATAACCGGTATTGTTAATACTTTTTTAGGTTCTGTCTTTTGTTCTTATCTTTGCCACTGCAATGCATGCCCTCTGAGTGAATAGCATGGGGTTTTTGGCTGAAACTGTTGGCCCGTGTAGCAGAGCTGTGTTTTCATACATATAGCATGTGACATTCGGAATCTAATATTGTCTCTCATGGGACATTCAGTCTAATGTTTACAGTTGAAGTTTATTACTGGGAAGCCCATTTAAGTCGTCTTGATTCTTGAGGAGAACAAGAAATTGCAAATTTCGATTTTAGACGACGCAAATAGCCTGTCTTCTTTGAATGCTTATTGGTTAGGTGTTTTAAGAGAGATCAATTCCTCTCCTTTATAAAAAGGCATAGTTAGTTGGTTCTCTATTAACCGGACATTTCATATGCCGGATGCAGTCTTTAGATTAGTTGCGAGTGGCAGTTCATTTTCCCAAATTTCCAACTGATTGTTTACCTAGAAATCACATGTTTGCAGATAACTTCTGTAGTAACTTTTGAAAAACTCCACTAAACTGGAAAACCTCTGTGGAATTGTCAGTGTTCAGGAAGACTTTTCTGGATACTGGATGGTGGTGTGTGTGGTGACTTCTTATGTTTCGTTTTGTTTCCCAGATCAAAGCCTAGTCTGGCAGCCGTTGTTGGTTGCATGATGCCAATGATGCTTGGAATTTGCTTTCTTTGTCCTTCAATGGACTGTCTCTGGCATAAATATCACTACTGCCCAAGCTGCAAAGAAAAGGTTGGACTTCAATTATCTGTATGATTTCACTTTATTTGCTAATCTACCGGGTGACAGGCTCGCGGTCGTAAAAATCTGTCGGGCATTTTAATTGATCTTTCATGTCGACAAATCAACCTTTGTAGGTTGCTGATTTCGAAAAGTCGGACGCTTGTGCTGTGGTGGATCCTTCACAGTGGAATCAAGAGAGCTTTGCATTGCCAGCATGATATGACGCATCGTTGATATACCTTCTGCCAATACATTACTGTTCATGTCTCTTGCAGTACTTTTTTCGGACGATGTTCTGTATATGCTTCTGCTACATGTATGTTATAGGAATCCCTGGGGACGCATACTCGCACCTATGATTCTCCATAAATATCCATGTTGTGAGAAGGTAAAGACTTGATCTTTTGTTTATATAGAAGATTGCAATTCCCGAATAAGCATCTATCTCTTCAAACTAGCAGCGCGGATAGCAGAGATCACGTCTCAATTTCCAGTGATCATTTCCTGGTTTTGAGTTTCTCCTGTTAATCCTCACGATTCGTGGTTTCCTTGTAATGCGCTCTCTGCATCGTTCTTTTTCCAGACAGAAGATGCAAGTTACCGAGGCAAACCATTAAGAGTTATCAGTCGCTGAATCACTTGACAGATTCTAATTTTCTAATCAGTTGAGCTAAGTGATAAACTAATTCTCAAATCACTTGTGAAGGTTAAGTTGATATATTAGGGTTGGAGATCGATCTATTTAGTTATCTTGCAATTAAGGAGATTTTATTTTGCCGAAAGTTGATGAAGTCACGTGGGCTTCGGGAACTTGAGAATCTTTGATCCTCCAGAATATCCACACCTCTTCCGTGACTCAATCTTCTCTTATACTTGCAAATGAATGTTCATGTATAAAGAGAGCAGATTTGGTCTCTTTGCTGCAGTCTTTCCGATCTGTAACCCATGTACTGGTAAATCGGTCTCGTCCCGCTAACTTTTGTATTATCAGCCAGCCTAGTCTGTTTCCATCAAGTCTCCCCGTGCATTTCCAAAATCCGATATGTCCTTTCGCCACCCCGCGATCTGAAATTAAAGGAATCGGTACGTAGTCAATCATGATGGCAGACACATTTTGCAAACAGTGGATGCTTTGAACTAGCTTGAGAAGTCATATCTTATATGAGGGGGAATCCAGCTAGAGGCGCGAATATCTTTGTATACATGCAATTCCGAAAGGTCAGTGGACTTCTCAGTTTAAATGCATGGCAGTCATCGCATGCACCCATGCAACGTAAGGCATACTGCCTATATCAACGTGCTGAATGCGAATATCTACGTATTTTTGCAAGATGATTTGGCAAGCACGTTGTCCAATCAACATATGTTTATTAGTATGAACGGAAGGGTCTATTAAAACCAGCTAGCTCACATCGGGAAGAATAGCGTCGAGAGCCATAACGGACCTGTTGCTTTGCTCCTACGGTGATGATGACCCGCGCGACCACCACCACCGGTGCACTTGGAGAGAAAGTTCATTGGATTGGACGGACAGCTAATACGAGGGATGAATTGGAACTGGCAAAGTCGCAGAATCAGTAGCTCATTTTCACGAGACTCTCGCGTTTGAAAGAGGGAAGTCCCAGGCGAGAGACAAGAACCCCGCGCGCTTGTCAACCGCCCTCTATTGAGTATTTGTTCTACTTTTATCAGTTGCCTCTTTCATCACTTTCATACGTGTGATCCGTTTGAGTCCCCCCCCCAATTGGAGTCCTCATGATCCAATGGATTGTATGCACCGCATGTAACTGATAGTTTTCTCTCGTTTGTTCTCTCCAAAATAATTGTCCCCCGATGATCAACTCGACAAGTAGCCACGTGTCCACCAACAAGGGAAAACCGAAGGGAAAGTATCAAAAAAGTCATAAACCTATTCCATTGGTGCCAATTTAGTCTTATACCTTTTAATAATATCAATTTAGTCTTAAATATTTTGATCTAGAGCCGTTTCAGTTCTTTTGATTAATTTTAGCCGAATATTGCTAACGTAGATGTCGGCAGGCCTACATGGCATGGCCAGCTCTGACCTTAACATTTTTTAATAATATTTTAATAGTTTTCTTTTTTGTTCTTCTTTTTTTCCTTTCTTCTTTTCTCTCTTTTTTTTCCTTTCCTTTCTTTTTTTTTTTCCTCCTCTTTCCTTTGATGGCCAACTCGGCCATGGCTGGCGAGGGTGAGCACCAGCGAGGCCGCCCTCCCCAAATCTGGTGAGCCCAAGCGTCACTCTACCGTCCTCACCCAAGCCTGGCCGAGGGTCAGCCTCGCATGGGCCAAGGTGAGGCCAACCCTCGCCCAGGCAATGCTTGGGCTCTCCAAATCTGGCAAGAATGGCCTCGTCGGCCACTAGAGGAAAGAGGAGCAAAAAAAGAGAGAACAAAAAGGAAAAAAAAGAAAATATTATTAAGACTGTCCACGTCAACGCCAGTCAGTCGGCGTTCACATCAGCAATATCCAACCAAAATTAGTTGGAAAGACTAAATTGGCTTCACGTCAAAAAGGTTTAGGATTGAATTGGTACCATAAAATGATTTAAGACTAGATTGGCGCCAATGCAATAGGTTTAAGACTTTTCTGACACTTTTCTCGAAAGTAGAAGGTCAAAACCTCCGTCACAGACATGTCCCTATTGGATGAATTTGATGATGGAGTGCCTCGACGTGTCGTTTTTGCACCAGGTTGAGGCTTGCAATGCTCCTCTTGATAAAAGATTCTCACTCCATCTCAACCATTGAATAACGTGTGTCTCACGTGAGGGCCTAACACCCTAAAAAAACCTCCACTTTAAGTCTAGTCACAATTCTATTCTAAATTTTTTTTAACCTCCAACTTTAATTCCTATCCCAATTTTACCATAAACTTTATTTTTGTCCCATAAAAAGACTCCAACTTTAGGTACAATATCAATCTACCCTAAAAAAATTTTGTCTCATAAAAACCACAAACTTTTACTTGAGTCTCAAAACTGCCCCCATTAACCCTCCTTCCAAATTTTCTTTTGACAATCAACATATGCAAAAAACTCCTGAACGCAAGCTGTTCGAGCGTCCTAAGCTCAACCTTTTATTCCATGAATTCCTTCATCAACCTGTGAATAGCAATCGTACGTACTTGGCAATAGTTAGAAAGTAGTCATTACATGATATCATGTTTTCCTTTCACAGGAACATCGGACATGTATTTTGTTGTGCCTATTAGATATCAATATTTGAAGCTATCATATGGTCAGAACATGTGTACATACGTATAAAGGGAATGTGCATATTGTTCAGACTAGTTTCAATATGTCGTGTATAGTGTAAACCTAGAAGAAAATACGCTCCCGAAGAGTGCTCGTCGGGGTTGTGGTGGTAGTGAAGGCAACAGTGACGGCAGATGAGTGAGAGAGAGATCAGTGAGGTGTGTGATTAAGAGGAGGGAAAGAGTTTTTCGGATCTACGGATGTCTTTAGGATATGTTCATATGTATATAACTAGGGTAGGCATGAATTTTAGGGTTTTTTTTGTAAGGAACACCGCGATTTGAAAGAAAAACTCTCGACATAAAGATGGGCCAACGAGATAAAGAATGCCAGATCCACCATAATCACCGGCGACATGGCTTACCTTCATCGCAGCTCGCGGGACAAAAATGACGATATCGCGTGCATGTGACAGTGATGCAGTGCTATCATTTCCAAACTTTTTCCTCCACTTATGGCTCCATTCACTGATCATGTATACTATATTCCTCTTGTGATTGACGACACAGGAGATCTGCGTAATATGCAGGGTCATAAACCGATATTCTGAGGCCTTTGTTGCTTTCTTATTAGACTTAAACCCCTGTCTAATGCAAAACTGTGGGCGCCTAGTTCGTCTCTTCTTTAGAGAGAGAGAGAGAGAGAGAAAGAGAGTTGCTGATTTAAGTAATAGTTTGGAGCTAATCGATATACAAGGTGGCTAGTGGGATGTGATTAATAAATTAAGAAAACATCTCGAGTACGGTGGAAACTGAAGCTTGAGGGAGCAGAAATTAACGTTGTAGCACCCAGAATATACAATATATAAACGAATGTAGGTACCTCGGCATTTAGCTCGCGTTGTCCTTTTGTCAAGAAAAGCAACTTCACGGCGCAAACCTGAACCTCAGTGTTTGCAATATTTAAAGACTAAACTGGCGGGTTTACCACTAAACGATCCGCCATAATGATGCTGTGATATCGGTCGAGTCGCTTTCGATTTCTTTTCATTGATTAGTCGCCGCCCCAACACTTGCGGTTTAGTTTAATGGATAAGAACCCCTATGGACTTGCAGTTTAATATTGAGTTCCAGACATTTCGTCCACCAGTGCAGGCTTGGGTGTTCCAATTAAGTTTGAATCAAGATATTCATAGTTTATCAAGTCCCATAATTTTGTTTTCACTCAGCCTCCTCTACCTACGAGGATAGGAAGGATTCTGCAGATTCTCCCACATGCGTTTGGCTGCTCGTTCTAAGTGTTGCGAGTCTTGGCTATGGCTATATTGGGCAAGAGCTAGGGCACGACAACAAGAGAAATATGAAAACTTACCCACAAAGGAAAGAGGAACAACAGGACATGACCTAATCTTCTATTCGGATAAATTGTAAGGGAAATCATTCAAGAAGTACATCAAGTATATATATAAAAGGGCCATGAATGCCACCCTTGATTTGGGGATGAAAGAGAAGCCCTCTAAATACAAGGGAGAAGCGTACTATTTGTGCGCTATTAATTAGATGTCTAGCTCGAAATTTGGAATGACTAAATGGAGGTGGCCAAATGTATATATAAGGTGGACAGAAACCACATGGACGTGTTAAGGCGAGCGTGCAAGCATTTCATTGAGACCAAACTGTTGGATATATTATTAATATAGTCCAAATAATATGCTCACATACAAGCCCAATAGGTTTAAAGCATGGTTATTTTGGGCCATATGGAGCCAATAGCTTACATATAAACTCTAGGGTTTACCTACGCTGGGTATCACCGCTGAGGCGTCCAAACTGACGTCTTCGGTGTAATACTTCAAGCAAAACACTATCTACTCTCTCAAACCCATAATCTTCAACAATCTTGAAGTATTAGATTCGTGTGTTGGATTTGAGCAAGAAAGGTGTCTACTTGAAGATCTCGTCGAGACGATCGCGGTATTATTTATTTTCGATTTCGACGGTGGATCGGCCAAAATCTTTGATTCAAGAACCCAGAAATTATAGCCAATTTTAGAGGGTGAAACCACTTGGGTCTTGTTCTACTCGTCGATACGAGCGTTTTGAGTGATCACTCGCATTGAACGGAGGTCGGACGGTGAGATACGACAACCGAAGTCCGGCGATTTTTCGCTTCCGCCGAATTTCCGGCGATTTTTCGGCTTCCAGCGAATTTCCGGCGACTTCTTGGCTTCCAGCAAC